TGGTAAATAGTAAACCTGGGAAATACTTTCTTTTGATGATTTTCATTTCTGTTATTTGCAAAATGTAGGTCAAAAGTTACTGAAACTGGGATATTTAAAACCAATCAATATCAAGCACTTGTAGTCCATAATTTTCTAGAAGGCATGGGATGAATAATTCACATCTACAGCAATTATTTTGTGAACATTGGATGTGTACGAATGAAAAATCAAGTGATCAAAGACATTTGGAAAATTATACGACTTCTGGTATTTGTAGAGTAGAGCGGGTGTGTGTAGACATACAGCATTTTGGTCACATGTGACCTACTGTACATCCTTCCGAAGAGTTGTCCTCCTAGGTCATCGTCCATCCTGTCCTTTCCAGGAAGGTGGACAGGTCGCTGGTGTAGGCCAAGACTCACCACTCTCTTTGGCAACCTTGAGGTGTCACATGGTGGCCTTCACGAAGGTTTTGGAATGAGCAGCAATATTATTATCGTTTCACGGCTTCTTGAACCTTCTTGGGTTTCCCTCCGTGGAGATGCACAAGTGAGGCACCCGCTGCAGGAAGTGCCATTGCTGCTGGAGGTGATCTGCTATGTCCAGCCTCACTCCAAGCGGTAGATTGGGGTGGAAATTTCTACCATTGACCAGGATTCCGGTGACCCCGTCCGTAAGGCCACATTGACTTCCTGGACAGGACCCCCAGTCCCCTGGCCGTTCTCCTATCCACCACCTGGGGACGCGCCCAATAGGTAGCCCAACCTACGAGAACTATATGACTTACCGAAATTTTTTGTATTTTCAATTGTGCCGTTTCAATTTTCATGAAGATATGTTAGTGTACAGTGTCACATTGGCAAAATATATGAATACTCTTATATCGTAAGACTCTGCAATTATCTCGAAAGGTTTATTATTTTAGATTGTTCACAGCATGGGTTTAGAGCGAAAAAATCTACCACGACAGCATTAGAAGAAGCTATATCTCACATCCATGACGCGTTGAACAAAAAAGAAAACATAATGGGACTGTTCTTTGATATGAGCCGGGCGTTCGATACCGTTGATCACAATTTGTTGAAAGCTAAACTGTATCATATTGGTGTTAGAGGCCCGTGTTTGGAATGGATACATTCATATCTGTCAAATAGAAATCAACAAGTAGAAATCAACGGTGTCCGATCCGAGCCGATTGAAACTAGAATAGGCACTCCTCAAGGATCATGTTTGTCACCAACCTTATTCAATATATTTATAACTGATCTACCCATGGAGGTAAATAAAACAAGCTATCCAATTATTTATGCAGATGACACTAATTTAATCATCACTGGACANTTGGCGATTTCAGCAGAAAACCTTTGGGGATGATGTTGTCTCTTGCTGTGCACAAAAACTAAGGTGAGTTTTTTCCTTGGTAAGCTTAATCACAGTCTTCTAATATCCTCGGAATAAGTCGCTGGTTCCGGGTCCGTACCGGGTGTTCAACGTTTGTTTGAAGGTGAAAATTGTTATGGAGAACCGTTGTATCACTGTTAGAGAAGTAGCGATGTCTTGTGACAGCTAAGTTCTTTCCAAAATTGCTGAATTTTGACGAATCATAGGTATATGGTTATGACATCAAAACCAAAGTCCAATCAACCTAATAGAAGAGCTCGGGAGAGCTAAAATAAAAAGAGTGCTCCGAGTTCTATAAAATGTCAAGGTTTTGCTTACTGCTTTCTTGGATTGCAAAATCCTCGCAAATATTGGTCAACGTCAACGAGAAACAATTTTTGATCAAACCATCTATACTGTAGCTTGATGGACTGACACCTATCAGAAAACAATTACTCTTCTGGCTAATAGATGATTTGATTAACAGTATGCCCACTGACTATATGTCAAAAGTTTTACTTCCTCATACGAGGAATTGGGCACATTTCGGATATGCGACTAGTTACCTCGTTCACAGGCAAATGGAGCGATGCCAAACCTGTCGTTTGTTGTCTCCGTCAGCCTAGTTCGAGGAATGATACTCTGAAAGAATTCGATTTCCAATTCGATTAGATGATTTGATTTAGAGCCTGTCTTCAAGTATGCCCACTGACTATATGTGAGAAATTTTTGATCAGTTTCAGTGAATTTCTGATTCCATCTGTGAGTTAAAATACAAATTGTTTTATTGCAAAGACCGTTGTACAGTTTTGAATTCTGGAAGATTTACGAGTTATATAAATATTTTTCTGATCAGCAACTCCTGCGAATCACTGGCATATGTCGCCTAGCCCATATGAGTCAAAACTGAAAATAGATTATGTGTTTTCAAGAATATCTTACCTTATTTTATAACATTACATCGATATCTTATGATTTATTAATCACCATGAGTTTGATACAATTCTAATCATGTGTGAAAACCCACAGGCGTTACCTTATAAATCCTTTGAATTTTGAATAGTTTTATAGTAGCGTAAGGTAGACAACTACAAGTAGGGTGATCTATTTCTTTGAAATGTTATGTTCACGCATAAATTTATCGCTCATTTCTTTCATTATTACGAGCACTACTCCTGAAAGTGGTCTTTGTACAACCCATCAAGTGATTTTTCTCTAAACTACACTATATTCATAAACTCTGGTGGGTTTCAAATCTTACAGAAGGCTTTTATTCGCAAGTGTGTAAACTCCTTTCCAAAAAGAGAGTAACACTGATGACTACTCCAGCCCCAGTAACTATATTCAGTAATATAAAATCAACTGTAGTTCATGGAGTTCACTCACTAAAAATTCACTATATGAAAAAGAATACAATGGAAAAGTGCGAACTCCAAAAATCGCTACATACGTGCTGGTGGATGAAAATAATGTACTAGATGCAAATAAGGCATTCGTTTCTATCTCTCTATTCAATATCATAAGGTTTCCGCTGAGCATGTTACCCATGATGATATCAAATTTAATCCAAGTAAGAAACTTTTTTTTTCAACCTTTGAGTGTGCATGTCCAACAGTTCTGCCTCCAACTTAATGGTTCTCTCTTTTTGTCAGTCTTTCGTATAACTATATTTGATTAAAAAGATAGTTTCATTTTGTAGAGGTATGCTACTGTTCTCTTAATATGAATACAAAGAATGCTCGAGAATGGGGAATGTTCCTCCTGACGAAAATCAAGTAGTTTTCATAAAAGAGCTCTAAAACAACGCATTTTGAACTTATCATTTCAACCTTTTTCTTTAAAAAATTATTTAAATACTNATATAAGATTTTATTTGAGAATTCTATAAGGACAAATCTTAATACTATATTCTGTTTTTCTATCGTTATTTATGGCTATAAATATCTTGTCTATATACATATTACCTAATTGAATATTGTATTCAAAGTGAATGGTAACCTCTAAATTGATTCTCTTGAATATAAGTATCTTCATTATGCACAAGATGTATGAATAACTGGAGTGAAATTGTTGAACATTCTGCTTGTTTACAGTTGAGCCTCTAGTGATTGAAAATGGAACGTTCTCTTGGGGTGAAGATCCAGTCTTGAAGAATATAAATATTCAGCTTAGAACACAAACTCTTACGGCTATTGTAGGAACAGTAGGATCGGGAAAATCAAGTTTAGTGTCTGCCTTTTTAGGAGAAATGGACAAATTGTCCGGCAGAGTGAATACTTACGGTAGTGTAGCTTACGTATCTCAGCAAGCTTGGATTCAGAACGCAACTCTGAAAGATAACATATTATTTGGTAAGCCTTTTGATAAGGCTCTGTACAATGATGTTATTGAGGCGTGTGCTCTGAAACCTGATTTGGATATGTTACCTGCTGGAGATCAAACGGAAATAGGGGAAAAAGGAATCAATCTGTCTGGTGGACAGAAACAGAGAGTGAGTTTAGCTAGAGCTGTTTATGCAAACGCCGACATATACTTCTTAGACGACCCTCTGAGCGCAGTTGATAGCCATGTTGGAAAACACATTTTTGAAAAAGTGATTGGTCCTAATGGGATGTTGAAGGATAAAACAAGGGTGTTGGTTACTCATGCCATCACTTATTTACCGCAAACCGACAAAATTCTTGTCTTAAAAAGTGGTGAAATATCTGAAAGTGGAACCTACCAGGAATTGCTGGACAGAAAAGAGGCCTTTGCTGAATTCCTACTCCAGCATATCAGTGAAAGTGCAGAAACTGAAGAAGGTGAGTCCTATTTTTATCAGTAGTACATTTTTGTAGATGTCACTGGTATCGACAAATTTTTATGTAATGAAAGTTTCTAACAATTTCTTTTCTTTATAGGTTCTAAGTTAAAACTGAGTGGTATGTGAGTTTTTGAGTTTGCAATTAGCTGTTAGAATTTTAGAAGCACAATATTATCAAACTTTCGTGTTAGATAGAAACTTCATTTTGTCGTAAGACATTTTTATTTAGCTATGGTTCATATGAGGATATTGAAAATATGTCAGACCGTACATTTCACAGTGACACCTATATGATCAACAAGAAAGTACTTCTGTCAATCTGAGAATTATTTATCAGTGATACTAGATTGACTTTGAAAACTATAAAAACATTGAAAATATTAAGTTGTTTCAAAAGTTTTCTCCATATTTATGAGTCTACTTTAAACTGTAATAGTGAATACAATTTAATTGAAATGAGCGTCATATGAATCAGTGCACTTTTGTCGCTGTAACACAACGACGAAGGCCGTTCTCGCCTGATTAGCGAAGGATGTACTTTTTATCACACGTGACCATCCGATCCAAAAAAGGATCATTTTGGTTGCGCGAAAGCAGAGATGATCAGACCATAAACGTGACAATTTCTGTTGATCGTTCATATCGTGGGGCACCCACTTTTCGAGCTTGTTGACCTTACCAATACGTTTTGAACCACCTAAAACCGCATGGGACCTGACGCCCCATTCTTACGCCATCCCATGCACCTTTGTGATGGGTCATTCTACCCAATTCTCGTACTGGATTTCGCAAACAACGTCGGACAGTGGGTTCATTAACACTATCATTTCCAAATCCGTTGTTACTTTTATGGACTGTATGCATCAATGTATAAGAGTAAAAAATTTTCTATCAATTAGTATATACCACAACAAAGTAGAATTTCCATTTACATTTCATGTATAGTGTAAATGAAATAACATCAATTTTCCAAAATGTACAGCAACGTTGCCATAACTATCCTGTTATATCAACTAATTGAGCTGAATTCGCTCCTTCAACCATTAATGAACTAAGAAATATTATATTCTCTCTTGACAAAACTAACAAAGCAGAAATTTCAAATAAGAATTTCTTAAAAAAAGTTTTGATGTAGCTGGTAATGCAATATTAAATTTAATTAACACATCACTTAGAACTGGTGTGTTTCCTGATCAGTTAAAGGTTTCCACTATTGTTCCTGTACCGAAAATTAACTTAAAAAAAGCTGAACATTTTAGACCATTAAATATACTACCAACTCTTGAAAAAGTGTTAGAAATGTCTGTATATAACCAATTAATTCAGTACTTTAATACCAATAAATTGTTTATAGGCAACCAATCAGGTTTTAGAGCTAGACACTCATGTGAAACGTCTCTACAATTTTTAATAACTGAATGGAAAAATACAATTGATAGAAATCAGTACATTGTTGCGACATTTCTCGACCTTAAAAGGGCATTTGAAACAATTGATCGAAATATTCTACTTGAAAAATTAAAATATTATGGGATATCAGGGATTGTTTTCGATTGGATTCAAAGTTACTTATTCAACAGAAGACAAAAAACTAAATTTGGAAAAGAATTGTCAGATGAACTTATAATTGAGAGTGGCATACCCCAGGGTAGTGTGTTAGGTCCATTGCTTTTTATTATTTACCTAAATGATATTAATCACATATCTGGATCACACTGTATAAATCTTTTTGCAGATGATACATTGGTTTATTGTTTATATGAAAATTTGGATTAGGCAATTGTTGAAATGAATAGGTCATTAAATAGCATTGAAACATATTTATTTAATGATAAACTTGAACTAAATGTCTGTAAAACAAAAAGTATAATTTTGACATCATCTTATAAGTATGATAAAATTGTTTGGGCAAATGCTGTTATAAAAATTGATAATGTTAACATTGAAATTGTGACTGAAATGATATTTTTGGGTTTTATAATTGATGAAAATTTAAGACTAAATAGTCTTGCTGATTTTATTAGTGAAAAATACCTAAAAAACTTTCTCTCTCTAATATGCAAAAAATTGTCTGTGTATGCTAGGTTGCCTCTTTTTAAAAATCTAATGCAACCTCATTTTGATTATTGTACTTTTTCTACTTGGTAAAAATGAAATAGCGCAATTGCAAAAGCTTCAAAATTGGGGTATGCAATTAATATTGGGATGTAGCCCTTACACAGCAATTAAATTGATGTTACAGTGTCTAACTTGTTTTAAGTTGAAGAACGTATATTATTTATGACTATCATCTTTATATTTTAGCTGCATGAAGGATTGCTACCCAATTACATTCAAAAATTCTTATTGATAAATAATGAAGCTCATGATTACAGTACGAGAAGAAATAATTTTTATAATAATAAAACTAATACTAAATTTGGAATGAATAGTATATTTCATAAAGGCTTAAATGAATTTAATAAACTACCACAATTTGTAAAATAATCTAAATCAAAAAATTAGTATCACATCATTATGATATTTGGTATTTTTTTGGTGTTTCTTTAATGTGATCTAACCTAACAATCTATAGATACGTATATATATCTCGTTTTCCTTTAAATTTTAATTTACTTTCGAATGTTCATTATATTTACATAATTTAACATAATTTTGTAAGATATTTATAAATTTGTATTTTTTTTGTATATTAGTCTTGCCTACTAAATAAATAATAAATGAATAAATAAAAAAAAATATTTATTGAGATATGGAGCTACTAAAACACATGACATTAAAACGGGCAAAACTTTTGAAACAACTTGATAGCAGTGAAATAATTTAGGTAACGTTTTACTGTTTTCTTATAGCTTCAAAATTACCCACCCAGATTAAAGTATATTTTTGCGTATGAATATTTGTTAATATTCACATGGTGGCAAGAAAAATTATATTTTTTAAAATAATTTTTGATGGTATGGTACGTTGTTTATATCCCCGACTGACTATTTTCTTCAAGACTAACACAATTATCTATCAAAATTCTTCATATACCATGAATACACAAAAATATTGAAAGTTTGTTTGTTTTTAGTGTGCATGCATTTATACTCATCACTGTTTTTCTGTCTTTGTAATTCATTGGGTTTCCTTCTCAGTGTAATTGTGAACCAAACTATTATTGTATTTACTAGGAATTAAATAGAAAAACACTTGTTTTTTAAATATCCACAATATATTACTTTTTGTAATGTATTACATATTCAACATCTTACATATTACAAGTCTACAATACATTACTTTTTAATATATTACATATTTAACATATTAAATATTACAAGTCTACAATATATTACTTTTTGTACTATATTAGATATTAATATCTTACATATTACAAGTTGTAATATATTGTGGATATTTGAAAAACAAGTGTTTTTATTCAATTCCTAGTAATTATGGATATCCATCAAGTATCGGCATCATTATTGTAGCCAATTTGATGATATTTCATTAATTTAAGAATTTTATGCAAGATATTATTCACTGAGATTCACGGTTGACCTTGCGTTGCAGAGAGTATTGCTGAGCGCTGCGGGTTCTCCGTCCTCTATCTAAAACAGTCGGGTATTTGAGAAAAATGTTCAACCAAAATTTTTCGCAAATTACATGCTCTAAACTTTTTGATTTTGAGTAACTTTCTAGGCTGACACAAGATTGTACAAGACTTTTGAGATGAGTTTTAGAACACCAAAACGAAGGTGTATACTTGTTTACAGCTTATTATCTTTCATTCCTTTTTTTTTATGCTTACGTGGCGGGACTACTTGGCCAAAATGATATGGAAACAATTTCTTTTTTAACATGAAAATATTTGAATATATTATTCGAAAAATAATACCAGTAAGCCCCAGACGAAAACTTCTTATTATTTCACTTATGTATCCTAATTTCAGCAATCAGATCGTCGATAAATACTGGAAGTTTTTCTAAAAATCTTATTCGTTTGGAATCATTTATGTTATTTTTCATAAATCTAGTTATCCTGTAATAAAGGCCTTCTTCTTTCCAGAACTTGATGAGCTCAAAGACCAGCTTGTTGATACACCTCTATCAGAGGAAGTAAATCGAAGATTGGTCAGACACAGATCACGAATATCTGAATCTCATTCTGAGTCTGGCTCAGACCGAATTGGCAATGGTTCATTACAACGACAGAAATCCAATGACAGTGCTGATAGGAGTCTAAGAAAAACATCTAGCATCACAGATGATTCTACAAAATTACCAACTCTGGGTAAAAAATTGATTGAAGTTGAAAAGGCTGAGACTGGAAGTGTAAGCTGGGCCGTGTATAAACACTATTTGATGTCGATTGGAATATTTTTCATGGTGGCGACGTTGTTTCTTAATTTAATTTATCAAGGTTTCAGTGTAGGATCGAATGTATGGTTGGGAGTCTGGGCAGACAGTGCAAATGAAAGTCAAAACGACACATCTAAAAGAGACATGTATCTTGGAGTTTATGGAGCTCTTGGTCTGGGACAGGGTGAGTACTACATGTAGGTTTAGATTTTGTGTTCAATTTAAGTTGCCCGAATGCCTTAGGAAGCATGTTTTCATAGTTATTTTCTCTTGATTTGCCAGCGAACTGAGTGTTATTAATTTAGATGAAGGAGCTTCGTTTAATACAGAATATCTCAAATATATTTTTGGCTAGCACATTTCATGAACTAATGACAGGTACTGGAATCAACCCTTTCTCTATTGAAAAAGTTAATTTTTATATAGTCAAATTTTCTAATAATAGAAGTGGAATTTTGAAATATTGCATTTCGAATAATTCATATTGAAGGTAATTAATAATGTATTCACTTATTATTTTTTATGGCACCTTGTTTCTTCTCTTGCCGGTTATACAGTATGACCTATTTTTAATGGAAACACCCCCCTAAAATTTGAAGTTGTAAATCGATTTTAATATTTTTTCTTAAATGTCAAGTACTAAAAGGTCTACCTTGGGACAAAATTTGAAATGTTTATTAAAGTTTCAAGGCATACTACGATATTTTTTCTTAGTCGAAAATCGAGATTGTTTATTAACGATTTTTTTATTGAAAAAATCACTACGCCACTGGATTCAGAGTGCCTCTAAATAGGTGTGACCAAAATTTCGTGAAAAAATATTCATTATTAACAAAGTTATGACAAATCACACACATCTCACACATCTAACTGTCACAATATATCATTTTCTTTTATGATTTCAACAATAAAGTGCCGCCAGATGAAAAAAAAAAAACAAATAGCGTAAATATTTTTAAGGAAAATAACGGAATTACATTCACACAATTCAACAATTTTATTAAACGTAACTAATAACTAATTATTGAAATGTTTCGATTCGGTGCAACAATTAATTCTAACTCATATTCTAGTAGCCTCTACTAATCCACCACGTATTTCGATACATGTTTTTATTTACCGTACCTCAGCTAATACGAGGACGATCTGGATGTCTCTCATTAAATACTCTACAAACCTCTCTAGCACTTCTAACGTCATCTCCCGGAAGGCGTACAATTTCAATTTTCTCTCTTACGCTCAATTTTGCAGCCATGACACAAAATAATTGGAAAACTTGTAAGGTGAATATTATTGAAAATAGTACACTTAAATCTTTCACAAGTGTATAACTGTAATATCATTTCCATGGCAAGTAAGATTTAAATTGAAATATTAGGTCTTAGTTTTAGTTAATTTGCGTGAAAACTTGAATGTAATTCCGTTATTTTCATTAAAAATATTTACGCTATTTGTTTTTTTTTTCATCTGGCGGCACTTTATTGTTGAAATCATAAAAATTTCATGGCTATATCTGTTGATATAGGGTGTTTTTTGTGACTGTTAGCTGTGTGAGTTTTCGAATTTTTGAGTTGTCATAACTTTGTTAATAATGAATATTTTTTCATGAAATTTTGGTCACACCTGTTTAGAGGCACTCTGAATCCAGTGGCGTAGTGATTTTTTCAATAAAAAAATCGCTAATAAAAAATCCCGATTTTCGACTAAGAAAAAATATCGTGGTATGCCCTGAAACTTCAAATTTTGTCCCAAGGTAGACCTTTTAGTACTTGACATCTCAAAAAAAATTTATTAGAATCGGTTTACAACTTCAAATTTCAGGGGGGTGTTTCCATTAAAAATGGGTCACACTGTATATCAATCTCTGGCACTTGACGGCACTATTACTTTTGCTGTATCCTCAAATATTTCAGAATGAAAACAAATTGAAATTTCTCTCACCCAAATCATCAGCATGAAATATATTGCATTAAATTATTTGAAGAAGTTTTTTATTTAAAAAATTTTCATCATCGTTGCCTAAAATTTGGCAGCGAATCATGCAGAGGACGACATCTGTAATTGACAATGTAAATAGGTTTAACAGTACTTATATAATGAAAGGTAACTTCAGAATAGATTTTACTTCACAAAAAATAACCCAATTGAGCAACTGCATAAAAAGATGTCCTGTATCATAGTTCGTATTTCTAATTATAACTGTCAATTCAGCAGATGTACCGAATGGGCTTGTTTCATGATTTTTGGTTTATAGTTCACTTGATAGTAATTTCAAATTGAAAAACAGTGCACTCTGTTTCAGTTCTCTAAGTACCGTAGCTTTCCCGTAATTAATTATTAAAAATCGAATGTGGTAGGGCGATGACGTCACAGTCCTGTTCCCGCTTCTTTTTCGGTTGACCAATAGGAACAATAAAAATAATCAACATTGCCAAATCGTAATATGTATGTGGCCTATAATTATCAATTCATATATCGTATCGTATATTTATTAGGTCTCTATCATTTATATGACATTCATTTCAGACTTTGTATTTTATCGAAGGATGGAAAGTTTTGATTTAATTTTTACTTTAGCTCGGCCAAGGTAGTAATAGTAAAATTCAATCCAAAAATAACCTGAAAATATATTTTTCGGAATGTAAACTAATGACACGGAATATGCAGCAAAATAGGCATCTGCCGAGACCTTCCTTTCATAAAAAAAAACGTTCATTAATTAGATAATGGTAAGAGTTGTTTTCACAACGAGTTGACAACAATAACAACAAATTGGATCATCAGCTAGGTGATTGGATATTAAAAACCAATACACTTGGCAACTCCGCTCTAGACACGATCAATTTTATTGGTCAACAGACACGCGGTCAATTTGAATTCTTGCTTATCGAATTGTTCTTTTTTCTGCAAATACAAAGAGATCTTGGGACCGATTAGGCTTGATGAGTATAATATACCCCTAACTCGATCAGTCTATAAGCAAACCAGTATTATTTTCCATAGAATGAAACAAGCCCATTGTATTCATTTCATTTTTGGATTTCAATATTTGTTTTGGAAACACTGCATTTTCAGAAAAAGTTTCATTCACAAAATATGAATGATTTTTAAGAAAGGAGTCTCCTGTATTAGTTCAATAGTCGTTTTGGGAAACAACATATATGAATATGAATAATATATACTCTTATATGGAAAATGTAGGGGAATGCAGCAAGCGTGAAAGTGTACTTTTATGAAACTATATTCCAATCATTTCAACAGTGATTACTGTCATCTTCAGGGAAAACTACAACATTTTTTTGAAATACAATATATTCTTGTATACGTAATTGTAATATACTTATAAAATAATATTTCAATCAACTGAAATTAAACAACTCTCGAATTATTACAAAATAATACAAGGTGACATTTAAAATGATAAAAATTCGTTTTTCATATCGTTATTTTAGTAAGTTCTAAATAGTAAATGAGTTGTAAACTTATTATTGATTCTTTCAATACAGCATTACTGAATAATTTTCACTTTAACTGTTATTAGGTATTGTTTTATTAATACTTGTTTTCAAATATGAATAAAGTTGAATAATTATAATTTTTTTTGGGTTTCCACTGAATATAGTTTTGTTTTCATATTTGGTGTCTATTCAAAAAATAAGGTGAACTTTCATTTTTCTCAAAAAATATTCATTTATTCATAAATTTCTATTTTGTCCCCTTCAAAGTAGTTCCCGTCAGATATAATACACTTTTGCCAGCGTCTTTTCCCATTTTTGAAGCCTTCTGATTTGCACTTTTTGGTATGTCCGTTTGCTCTCTCCGTGGCTCGGTTTTCACTACTTCAATCTTCGCAAAACTCCATCCTTCCATGGGTCTTTTCAATCTTGATAACAGGGAAAAGTCGCAGGGGGGCGAATCTGGTGAATACAGTGGCTGAGACGTGATTATGAACAAGCAATGACGGATGAGCAGGTGCATTATCGTGATGCAGAAACCATGAATTGTTTTTTTACAATACTGGACGTTTTCATCGTCCATAACAATTTTCTTCAGTTTCTCAACATTTTCATCGGTTGTTGATGTGCTGGGGCGTCCAGGGCCATCGTCGTCATTCACATCTTCTCGGTCTTCTGTAAAAACGTTGCACCATATTATTCTGACGAAGAGTACAATCATTGTATGCCACTGTCAACATTTCAAATATTTATGCCTCTCAGCAACAAACTGAACTTGCTAAATAGCTGAAACTGTGGACATATGTTCGAGACGAGTGAACCAACTTAAAAACTTCGCTAATCCAATGCATGTAGCCCGCGAAATTTGAATATTCACCTTATTTTTTGAACAGTTCCCATGTATGATAACAGTGGCTTATTTTCTCCTCGCTTAAAACGAATGATCTGCAATATTCAACTTTATTATTCATTTGTCATAAGAATTTCAACAGTATGAGTACTGAAACTTGTTATATACTTTTGGTTATTGGATATGCATGCTCTGTATCGAAACAAAGGTTAAAATGTTACCAAAACTCTATATCGTAGCTAGTTTTCAACTTTTCAGAAAGTCATCTCAACTTTTCTACTCACCATTTGTTTGCTATGCATGCCTTTGAGCTTATTTTGCTTTGGTTGCTTTTTGATTAATGCCTTTTGTTTGACTATATTGTATTTTATTTTGTATTAGTGTATCAAAGATCCTTCTCGGTTTTCAGTCATCACAGTATTGCTATCTTCGCTCAGCCTTTACATAGGAACTTTAAATGCAGCCAAATCTTTACACAACGTCATACTCGCGAATGTTTTGAGAGTACCTTGTACGACATTTTTTGATGTTACACCAATAGGAAGGATCATAAATAGATTCTCCAAAGATATCGATACTTTGGATAACGTTTTGCCCATGACTTTGAGAGGATGGGTTATGTGCTTTTATGGGGTTAGTGTTTTGTTTTATTTTATTTCAAGGCAGTTATATTTGTAAACGTTTTTGATTTTTATTGAATCATTATCAATCACGATACCAATTTGAAAAACTATGTCAAGAACTAACTCTGAAATTAATTGGAAAAAAAACTGAATCAGCTCTAAATTGCAGCCATTAATAACTTTTTTTTTGGAATGAATGTTTGGTTAAGAATTCATTAGGTCCAGTCTTAGAGTCCTCAAATCCTCGTCCTGGATTACTGTACATCTTCGAGTTTAAACTCTCCGGAACGAAATTTCGTAAACCAGTTTCAAAGAGTGCGTTCATTAACAGTATCATTGCAAAATGCTTGGTTGATTTTTCAGCCTGTTTTGGCAGCGCTTTGGTTCAATTTGAATCGTTAGGAGGTAAACAACTAATATTTAGAAAAAAACAATTAACATCATCACTGTATAGAGTACAAAATTCTCTATTAGTCAGTATATACCACAAGACAGTAGAATAAATATTTATTCAGACATGAAGCTACAAAAACACATGCCATTTAAACAGGCATAACTTTTGAAACAACCTAATAATTTGAAACGTCCAATTAACGTAACAATGTTAATGTAATGTAAAAAAAAGTTAAATATCCATTTCATAACAGGATAATGATTCCTAAATCTTGGATTCCATTTTAGAATGTTTCATATTTCTAGAGCTTTTTTGTAGTGTAGCTATTTTAAGTTCAGAAGTTTTGAATGTATTGTTTTGCTTGCAATTATGTTCATTTGTAGTGACTGATAATCTTGATATTTCTAGCGATTACAGTTTGTTCGTCAGAAGTAAATTTAACAATAGCCGCGCTAAATGCCGCAACAGAAATTCACAAAGGTCTTTTGTTCAGCGTTTTACGCCAGCCAGTGTATTTCTTTGAAACATATCCTATGGGTAGAATTCTGAGTCGATTTTCTAAAGATCTGATCGATCTTGATGTTGAACTACCATTCAATTTTTATGAAGTCATTGAAAGTGGTTTCATAGTGAGTCTAGTTATGAATATAGTCAGGCAGTTATATTTATAAAGAAACTTCTGTAATTATATTTTGTTGTATTTTGGTTCAGTTTTTCGATATGATTTGTTCTGTTTTTGGGACCATTTTTTAAAATTCATGTCAGTGAAATATCAAACATGTTTGATTTTTGTTTTTGATAGGTAAATGATAGTGCTTTCTATTACTTTCAAGGGTACCTTAAATGCACATTCAAGAATCATACTTTTTACTTTTGGCAGGATTTATTGAAATTATCAGCATCATACTGGAGAAAATTTTTCACGTTATTTTTTATTATTACTTACATCAGGTGCATATCAATAATTTTGACTTATCACATCTGGTGCGCTTCAAATTGAAAAATCATACAGAAAAAATTGCTGTATATCATAGAAATCATTGACAATAAAATGACAGAATGAGTGTCTATTGAACACAATAATTGTAATTCGTGATAATGTTCAATAGCTTTTCAGTTGAACAGTTGCGAGTGCAGGGTGGGGTTTAACGATTGCTAGAATCGAAAAAAATCTCAGTAGAGCTTTCAATATGTCAAATTCCAATGTTGAAAGGTGTTTATGACTCATCTGGTTTTTCACAGTTAGTCTTCAATGGAAGACCACCTGCCAGTGCTGATGATGCCCAACAGGCTAAAACAGATGTCTTCCGGTGCAGCAGCTTGGCTGCATTAACCATTCTTAACAAGTTTAGGTGAAAACACCATACCCTTGCCTCTCACGTAAACCTACAACTTTCTAGGTACGTGTGGCAGATACCTGAAGGAAAAACATCAACTAACCTAGCTAATGTCGCGCAGAAAGCGAAGTGAAACCATCAGGAAACTACCTGATGGTCGCAAGTAACTTACTGAATATGAAAAGCAGAAATTAATTTCATTTGGTCGGGACGACCACCGATAAACCAGTTTAGGAGTACTTGCTCCTGGTTGAGTGCCCTTAGTTGAAATCTTCTCCACAGGGTTACATCCCATCTCGTCCATCCACCCATGCTCCGGAGGAGCGATCATCAACTTACTAATGGGCACTTCAGCAAGATTGACATCTGACCTCTTTTAGTCGAAAGTCAGCCTTTAGGTGCTTTCACTTTCTAATCTAATGTTTACTTTTGTCGTGGCTTTCCTAATTGAATTTTTGCATGGGGTGGGTCCCCAAAAACTAACCGGAGACGAGTATTTTTGTGTCGCGAGCAAGTTTTGTTTTCCAGTGAATCTGAAAATGAAGTAAATTTGAAATCTGGTTAAGTTTTTATATTTACAGGAACCGCCTGATAGCGACTCTAGGGGGTGGTCTCTGGTTCTGCTTCGCACTGGATTGTCGTGCGCTCGAATTCTGTCAAACGTGTCTTCTGCACGGTGTCTCATATATGCGTCTATAGTGTATGTTCAGGTCTAGATCCCGGAATATGTACCTATTCGGTACATATTTTGGAGTGTTTACGGCGGCCCTTACGCACGCGATCATGAACGACTGGATCTGTCTTCTGTATGTCGCTGGCCACTAGCCCCAGGCAGTGCAGACATACAGGATTATCTGTCTTTATCATCAGCAGCTTCACTTTCAATCCCATGTTGCTTCTTCGACCTATTATTGGTAATAGGTTTTGTCGGGCAGATCTCGCCATTCCTATTCTATGGCATACGTGAGACCTGAACGTTAATCTTTTGGCTAGGTTGACTCCCAGGTATCTAGCTTCGTTGTTCCACGGAATCTCTTGTTCGTTGAAGGTGGCGCTTCCTTCCTGGTGTACTATCCTCCGGATAAACAGTATTGCCTGACTCTTGTCAGGGTTTATACTGATCTTCCACAGGTTGGCCCATTCCTCTAATTTATCTGCCTGTTGCTGCAAGTATCTAGTGACGTGCGCGTGGCTTGTTGATCTCGTCAGCAGGGCTGTGTCGTCCGCGTAAAGTGCCAACTTGTTAAAGTTGTTCTCCGGCTTGGGCACGTCTGCTGTGTAAACCGAGAAGAGGTGTGGCGAAAGGAGTGCACCTTGTGGGACCCCTGACAGTGGGTCCACAGTCTCTAGTCTGGTATTTATGTCCCTGGACGAATAGAGGGACGGGCTGGTAGGGGAGAGTGGGGTTGGTAGTAGGAACGGGGTTGTGACTTGCAGAAGCTAGGTGTGCATCTCACAGCATTGCAGATTAGGCAGATTAGGCAGATTGAGACTCTTGCAGCCACCACCGTCGAGACATGAGGAGTAGGCAGATTAAAACCTTATTGTAGTCATAGTTTCTTGAAAAAGGCTTTGAAATCGAACAATTAAAAACACCAGATGCGTTTCAACCCGGACTTCAGATTATCAGATTGTTTATATGACTCATAACCTTGATCATAGTTCCAAAAGATTTGGCCTTATTATACCGGTTCAATTTCATTGAATGAAAATTATGTTTACCAGCTATTATCGTTGGTTTTAGTAACAGCCATTGTTAGAAATAAATCCTTCTTTAAGAGATTTATAAAGGTGACCTATGAAACCATAGTGACGCTTTTAGATTCTGCAAACTCTCTCGAATACATCTTGTAAACGACGAACAATTTCTGAAGGTTTCTTGTTTTCAGTAAACAAAAGAAAAGTTACTCTTCAATAGTTATCGACAACATCCATTCTCGTACAAATAGCTTTACAAATATGCCTGTATCGGTTGAGAAATGGTTACTACATTAAACGAGGTAGCTCGTAAACGTATCAAAATTTGTCTCCAATATACGGTGTGGCCAAGAATTTACGCCGGTGAAGGAGAGCTAAATTCATAAAAACGGCAACGTTGCTAGCATATTTGAAAAATCTGTAGTTTTTGGAGTCTTTCCTTAATAGAAACTGAAGAGAAATATGTTTATCATTGTAAATATATTACTGCTCATGGTATGTCATACCCGGGAACCGACATTAGTTTCACAAACTGCTGTAATATAAGTTTTGAAACGTTTCACTCAGGTTTAAAATAATTATTTAGCAGCACTATTTTCACATTGGGCTGATTTGGTTGATGGATTGAATTTTTTTAAATATCAAATACACAGACAAGTGTGTGACATTAATGATGATTGTGTCTGTTTGTGTACTCATCTCATCACCTTTGAATTTCATCTTTATAGGGATTTGCCCACTGTCAATTTAAAAAATTGTCTACTGTATAAAAACCTTCGGATGGTTTTATTCAATATTACTGGAGTTTTTCCCAACACCAAATCGTTATTTTAACACCTCGACACGTGTTTCGATCACCAAGTGATCATCTTCAAGAGGTTTGGTGTTGGGAAAAAACTCCAATAATATTCATTACTATACCAAAGGTTCCAAACAGTG